TTTAGGGTTTTTTTTAAGTGCAATAGAACGGACTTTACGACCGTCCCAGCCTCACGAGGCCTACACTAGTGAAACACAGCCTCTTGTTCAGGACTGTCATTAACTCTACGGTTCACGACCAGCTCAGACTGTTCATCCACAGCGCTAACCTCATCAGGGTCATCAAGGGAGTCATCCTGGTGCACAAGGGAGTCATCCTGATGCACTTCCATAGTGGCATCAGCAGACAAAGCCCCAGCAGCAGGTGCAACATCATCGTCAGACATCCCAGCAGCAGGAGGTAGTAGGGCAGGAGGTAGTAGGGCAGGAGCAGTTGAAACAGGAGCAACAGCAGGATCACTCTGTAGATCGCCAGAGCCGGGAGCAGGACCAGGAGGATCACGTACAGGTTGACGATCACGTTCTCGGTGAGGCGAAGCACGGTCCGAAACAACGTCCCCGAAGTTCTCCCTTGCTGTTTGAGTTTGCGCCCCAGCGTTCGTCCCCTCCCCATTGTCCGCATCCTGCACATCCAGCTCACTCACAGCCCCATGGGTGGTAACCGCTTCACCTTCCGTGGGAACAGCTGTAAGTCCAAGACCGCCAGAAGGACGACCCACTTGCCCAGCAAGGATACCCCAGAGGTGGGACTCCCTAAAGGTTGGTTCTTCGCCACGGAGACCACGTCGTACCCGAATATAGTCCCAGGTGTGCTGGAAGTTCCACTCAGGGTCATGGTGCCGCAACATGGAAGGAGCAGGTACCGATGGTCTTTGCACCCCCGATGGCGAAGTCCGACTATATGGCGATGTCGAAGGCCTGGGGTTCGCCCTCCACGGCGGTGTCGGTCTCCCTCGATCTGCTCGGCCACCTCCTCCACGCGGTGCCTGGTATTGGTCAGCAGGGCCTGCAATGACGCCATTCATCCTGAGCAGATGCCACACCTCCGCCACAACTAGCCCCGCGATGTGATGTGCGAGCTGTAGTTCCCTGGCCGTGAGCCCCTGACTGTGGAACGCTGGCATGTCACCTATCCCCCCACCCGACGCCTCTTCCGGAGGAATGTCATTCTCATTCTCATCCAGGAATTCACCCTCTGGGTCATGCTCTTGTACTTCTTCCTCCTGGTTCTCATCCCATCGACGAGTGACATCTGTAGGGTCCACGAGGTCCTGTTGCTGTCGGTCCTGGAGTGTATCCAAGGTTGAGCGTCCTGCATCAGGCTCTTCGTCCACCGTCCAGTTCACGTCCTCAAACTCCAGAGGGGCATCCTCCACAAAGGCAGCACTCATGTCCACCGGCACTGATCCAGCTGCAGGTTCCGGCTCCATAGTGTCCACCACATTGTCCTCCCTTCACGAGGCCAATTCTCCCCAGCAGGTGTGGTGGTGGTAGATGTGGAGCTGGTGGTCGTAGGGGCACCCATGATCTCTGCAATCACCCTGTCCGTTTCCTGCATCTCATCCCAGTTGGGTGTACGTGGGACACCAGGTCGAATGAGAGGCGTTGCAGGTATTATTGGTGTGACAGGGTTGCCTTCTTCGTCGAACGGCGTGGTTATTCCATAGTGAGTCGTCGGTGCACTCGGAATGAGGTGGAGGGGTTGTGGGGGCACCCTGCTCCTGAAGACATGGCCACGAGGAGATGGCCCTGGTGTGCGCCCCGTGTCCGGCGTGCGCGCTGACACACTCAGCCGAGCCTGCGTAGGAATCGTCCCTCTTGGTGTCACCGGCGCTGGACGAGTCACCCCAGTCGGCGGCCGCATCCCAGTGGTTCCTATGGGCAAAGGTGGTGACGACGAAGGCGAAGATTGCATCGGCAAAGGTGTGGACGAAGCGGAGGCCGTTGACATCACCCAAACTCCTGTCACTCCACTTGAAGGTCCGACTTCAACAGCGCCACTTCCCTGGACCATGTCCGCATGCGAGCGCTTGTGGCCTGCATGGGTACCAAGTGGCCTCCTCGCTACCTGAACACCAAGCCCTGCTTCAGGTCCCGAGGGTTGTGGTGTTCTGAATCTCTCCAGGTCCCTCATCTGGTGCAATCGTAGAAGGTGCTCCTCCCTTTCTCGCAGTACTTCCTGGGCTCGGGCAGCATCCTGGTCTGTGTGGGCTAGTAGGGCGAGCACAACGTCGTTAATCATGCCACGCCATCGTCGAGCCCACTCGGAGTAGTGCAGGTGCATCGGTTCGTTGGCGGGCGGGACCGTACGTGGCTCGCCAGGCGGACGGAAGATGGAGTTCGCAATCATAGCGGCAAGACGCGTGAAGAGGCCACCAAGTTGCCTAAATTCACCCGCCGCCACATGTGCCGCCCATCTAACCGACGGAGGGTGTCCATACCTTTCCGCCCCATATGTGTCATTAAGCACCCTCTGGGCAAGAGGTTGTAGGAGGTCATGCGCCCAGTCAACTCCAGCTGGCCTGGTTGTAGACGGCTCAATGACCATCGAGAACATCGCCGGTTGTTGATCCAACCCCATGAGCAGGTGCCCCGATTGATTCGCAGCACCCAGCAGGTCTCCATCCACCAATTCTTGCAGCGTCAGTTCCTGCAGCTGTTGGTCAGTGGCATCAGAGACATAGTCACCCAACTCGCCCAGCGTCGTCCCAGGTTGTGGAGGTTCCCCAGCTTGCGAAGTGGTAGAGGTCGTAGAAGTCGAGGTGGAAAGGTACAAGCCAAAAGTCACCCCTGTGCCATTCGCAAGAGTCACCCCAGGGGCTGACTGGGAAGTACTGACTCCCAACTCCTCCAGTGACATCATCGTCCCAGGGGAGAGGGTGGCATCAAGGGAGTCGGACACGGTGGGGACAACCTCACCCAGGGACGTCATCCACGATGAAGAAGGCAGATGCGATTGTTGGTCGTCCCCGAGGTGCTGGTGCTGTACGGTGTTCTCCGTCTGTTCATCCAAAGTCAGAATGGTTGTGGAGGTGGTGGAACTCATCGCAGCGAAAGGAAGCACCCCAGTGAAAGAGGTCAAAGAGGTCAAAGAGGTCACGCACTGAGATATAGGTGAGAGGCATGTCGTTGTAGTCGTTGTAGTCGTGGATGTAGATGAGGAGCAGGTTGTAGGTGAAGGGCAGGCTGTCGTGGTCGTAGATGTCAAAGAAGCTGGCGAGGTTAAAGTAGTGAAAGCACACATATACATAGAAGTCGTGCCGCAGCCGGAGCTGAAGGTAGACATCAAACACGGGGGTTGCGCCCCAACCTCCAATGCCACATCCAGGAAGAGGACGCGAAGAATCGTGCCCCCCAAGCAAGAGAGACACCGCGACGCCATGGCAGAAGGGAGGGGCAAACAAAATCACTCGAGCAAGCCGGCTGTCATCTCCCCTCGTCCGCCATGTCAGCAAAGTGCAATGCTTCATTCAGGTTAAGACAGCAAAATGACATTCAACTTGACCACATTGTCACTGATTTACCCATTTGTAATAGCAGTCTGTCTATGTCTGCCCCAGAGGAGGTCAGTATGCTTAAGCCACACCGCCCTGAGCATTTGCCACCCATCTCGATCACGTGCTTGGTCCATCCAGTTTGTCCCCAGGGCTTCAGCCAGTTCTCTTTCGAAGTTGGCCGGGTGAAACGTTCGCGGGTGCCTAATACCCCCCGCACGGACAGTGATGTGTTGTTGTTCTCTCCACCATCGGAGGCATCGCCACTGCAGGAATCTAGCAGTAATCCCGGGACTTCCATCGACTCCCCTACCATCATCTTCCCATTGACGACACCAATGTCCAGCGAGGCCAAATTGTAGGTTACGTACTCGTGTGCTCCAGCGATCATACGGGCTGTTGTGAAGCCACGCCCTCACGTGGCGCATAGTTCGTTGGTTCCAGGCAAGCCAGTTTTCGTCGGGCTGACGCCCCAGGTGGAAAATCTCCCGGAGCACATGCATTTGCATGGTGTTGAGCATCTGGAGATCATCAACGGCCCAGTAGACAGCTCCAGCCACCCAGGTGACAGCCCCTTCAACCAACATTCGAAGCGCGAAGACTTTGTTATTCCAAGAAGCCCTACCAGCAAGCAGCGCCCTGTGTTGTCCAAAGGCCGCTCGGAGTCTCGAAATAAGTTCCCGAGCTTGACGGCTTCGATCTCCATCAAAGGTGAACTCTAGGCCAAGGACTCGGATGGGCTCATGAGGAGGCTGCACAGGAATGGCCTCATCGCGAAACTTGACGACCCTGCCCCCAACATAGTCAGTTGTACTGATGACCGCCGTCTTTTTGCTGGCCAGTTGCAACCCAAGGCCAGCAAGGGCCTGATCAATCAAGTCCAATCTCATAGCAATTCCCTCCGGCGAGGGGTCCCAAAGAAAGAGGTCGTCCTGGTACATGAGCAAATCAACCTCGAGATCATGGATGGGTTTGGAGAGTCGTTGCCATTGCTGTCCTGCCCTCATCTCATCCAGCGCCGCTTCAAGTACCAGCGCAAAAAGTTCCGCTGACTCCGGTGCCCCTTGTCGAATGCCAGTTGTGCAGTGGATATTTATTTGATCCCCACCAGGTACCGGGCCACCAAGAAAGTTGGACTGCAACTGGCCAAGCAGGTACCTGGCCTCACGCCCCAGTCCGACATGGGTCAACTTATCACTGAGGAATCTGGCGACAGCTTTCCGATCCAGTGCATCAAATGCACCCCTGATGTCAAGCTTGGCTACGAGGAGCGGGATACGCCATTCTTTGCACATATCTCGGAGACGCGTGAAGCATCCCACAAGGTCAGCAGCCTGACGACCTTTGCCACAGCATGCAAACTCTGTTCCTTTGCGCAAGGCGGGAAAGGTCCGGGACATCACGAGCCGACTGGTAAGTTTCTGCAGTGCAGAGGACATGGCAATGGGTCTAAGCTCATGTGGACCTGTCGGTACATCAACTTTGGCCAGTAATGCCAGCAACGAGTGTCTCCAGGATTCCGGCGCAAAGTTGTGGAAGACGACGTGATTGATAATATCAACAAAGTCACCCTTGAGCGCATCATGGTCAACCAACTTTCTCAGTAGATCAACCCCAATTTGATCAGGTCCGACTGAGGCTTGCGGCTTCATCTTACTCAACTCGTCCCGGATTTGGCCAACATCGAATGGCTCCCAGTGATCCTCAAGCGGGATGGCAGCTATCATCGACTGCAAGTCTGCATCCCATTCGTCAGGGGGAGGACCACACATTTTGGAGGCCAGATGTGTTGTAGTCGCATCCGTGAGCTGCTTAGTCGTCCTCGATTCTAGCATTCGCCCCCACCAGCCTGACTTCTTGGTCTTTTGGGTCTTGCGAGCACGGTATGCAGCCCAGTCACCTTGCAAAATACAACTCACCCGGAGCTCCTCCCACCGGCGACGGGCTTGTTTGCGCAAGCGGTGCACTTGCCTCCAGGCCTGTTTGTCACCAATGCGGCGAGCTTCCTGAATGGCTTCCTTAACTTCGGGCGGATCCTCATATTTCACCCCTCGAGCGCACCTGGTGCACTGCTTGGCAAGGTTCACGATGTCATCAACATCCACAAGTTGGGTGTCCGGCAATTCACGCACAACAAATCGTGCTTTGGAAGGTGTGCACCATCTACCTCTGGTATACTCAAGAAAGGCATGAACGTGAAGAATGGCATGGTCGGTCCCAATCTTGTGACGTGCAAGCGCATCAATGTGAACTTCCCCGACAGGTAGCTGACGACCCCAAATGGCATCAATTTGACGTCCTTCACGGCGTTCGTCCCTCGGAAAGTGAGTCGCCTTGTTGCGGTCTTGGGTTCTTGGGGCAATAGGTCTCAGCCCCGCTCCAGCCAACTGATCACAAAGGTAATTGAGGTTGGTACTGCCAGCCAGCACGTCGCTTGATCCCTCCTGGTCCTGACCCCCCCATCGAATGCTCTCATTAACGTCGATCCCCAAGATGCAGGGATGCATTCTCCATTTCCCCCGCAGTGAAGCAAGGAATTGCGCCGCAGCTTCCTGGTAGACTTTGTTGGTAACACCCGTGTGGCCATGCATTGTCCCCAAGAGAACGCTTCCCCTTCCTTTCAGCTTGACGAGTACGACGATCCCTCGCGATGTAGCCTTTTTAGAGATCACAGAGTCAAAGACTTCGTAGGAAATCCCTATCGCTGTGCCCCGCCACTGGTCTTTGCAACGGTGAGTCACCCAAAAATGTGTATCACTCTCTCGTTCAGTCCATCCAACATCACCCCTTGCAACTTCCTGTGTTAGGAAGATGTCTGTGGTCGGTTCAACCAAGGCAAGTTTATCCACGGTTTGACCACCCAAATTCCAGCTGGATATACGGAGGGAGCTGGCGGTTCCTAAGGAAGAGCCAGAAGTGAAACATGGTTCCTCACCCATTCACAGTTCCCTTTGGAGGGCCGAGGCGGCCTCTGCCCAGTCAACCCCTGTGAGCGAGGTTACCGCACGAATGTCTACCCAGCCTTGGTTCAACTGAAAGAAATCATCGGGCCGGTCTGAGTCCTTGCGGTGTGTAGCACTTGCCAACTTAAGCGGGCCATGCCATATCGTGCCTGTCCCCCAGTCCACGTCATAGCCTTCCGGGGTGATCGCCTCAGCATTGAATGTCTCCCCATCTTCCTTCTTGCCCAGGGCCGCAAGCTTCATGACAACCCTTCTTACCAAGGAGCACATCGCCGACCTTTTCCGGGCCTCGGGTGTCTTCATGAACGATGCCCAAACAGCTTTACCATCACCAACTTCACCCCGAGTGCTGTCCAGAATGATCTTGTTTTGTCGGATCTTAGTGACAACCTCCCACATACGAGCACGTAAAGCCACTGATGTTTCCTGGTCTCGTTGCTTGAAACGGAGGAGCCCAAAGCTGCGACGAGGGCCGAAAACTACAAGGGAAGGGGAGTCAACAAGGTTGACAAAGTTCTCATCCTTGAGAATGTTTTCCGCCTCATTCTGTATGGTCGCCCGTCTGGTATCCGGGAGCCATCCCCCGAAGATGAGGGAATTCTTGTCCTCATCACTGAGTTCATGTCGACGGTCCTCCCCAGGATTTTGACGTGCTTGCCCACTTCCTTCTTTGGGACGATGTCTATCCTTCTGTCCACCCTTCGTGTGGTTGATGTAGTCTTGCCATGGGTCCGGCCCGTTCTTATTCACCGAGGACTCCGCATTGGCCGCTATCTCGTCCACCCGGGTCTTCAACTTGGTCAACTCACCCTCAAGCTCGTCGGTCTTACGCGCTGTGGCATCCCCTTTGGCTTGCACCCCCGCCACCTTTTGATCACTCTGCTTCTGCTTGAGATGCACCGCCTTGAGCTCCTTGCCCTGGTTCTTGACGACACCCTCCACCTGTTGAACTCTGGATTCGATGTTTCCCCAGGCGGCCTTTATTTCTTGCAAGTGCTGGCCAAGAAGAGCTTTCAATTCATCCGTGGACATTCCCGCACTGCCCGACCTGGGTCCTCCTCCACCACTCCCCCTCGGCTGTCCTTCACCCGCGGGTCGGCGACGTTTTCCACCCCCATGGGTCACAGCGCCCCCGCTCGTCTCCATTTCTTGTGGTCCATCCAACACTTCGTCCTCGCTGTCGTTCACGACACTTGTGGGGCCAGCGGGGATAGGCACCTCGCCCCCGGTAAGTTCTCCCTCCATCCGCCACAGAGTTACCTAATTCAACCTGAGTCGTTGGGCACTTGAGCCAAAAGGGTTTAGGGTTTAAGGTTTAGGGTTTAGGGTTTAAGGTTTAGGGTTTAGGGTTTAGGGTCTAGGGTTTAGGGTTTAGGGTTTAGGGTTTAGGGCTTGGGGTTTGGGGTTTGGGGCTTTAGGGTTTTA